TGAGACTAGCAAGGTACCATCGCACATGCAGTTCCCAGACAGATCTTTTGCTCTTATTGTGGTGAAAGTGGGGAGTTGGACCTCCAAGTGATATATTGAAGTAAAAATCCTAGCAACCACAATGAGCATTGCCTATGGTGAGTTGTAGGCCACCAACGCTTACAGGACATGTTCCCCATCTTGTTCTGCCATACGATTCACATCATGAAAACGATCATTTGAGATGTTTGAAGGGTGCCACTTTAGGGAAAACCGATGCATGGATTTCTTTGCGTGTGGTTGACAAACTAAATGGCTGAGAACCATTAATGCTGTCAAGTCTCCATAGTGACTCTTGAATTCTGTCCTCAGAATCAGTGGTTGACTTCCCACTCGGTTTTCATAGCTATTTAACTGAAGAATAGGAGAAAAGCGGAGGATCATAATGTCCTATGCTTTAGAAAAAGAAACATTTATATTCTTAAAGTCAGGGAGTGATGGTGGAAGTTCTGGATAGGGTGTTCTTAAAGCAGAAGGTGGACTTTGAGATCGTGGGATTTAATTTAACCCACTTAAAACATCCAGCTATATACGGAGGACCAAATATATCTCCTTACTGCCTTCAATCAATGTAATTCAGTTTAGCATCTAAAAACAACCCAGTTTGCATTTGATGACGTGATTCATCAATTCACGAGCATTTTGTCTTCATATCTACGAGGCGTTTTTGCACCTCCCCCAATGACTTTCTTGAACCTTGGAGAATTCTTCCTACATTTCCTCTTCTAGTTTCCAATATTATTTATAAAACTTTCCAGTCCCTTTTTTTCTGGGCCAATACCCATTTGCTTAATTAGCCCTCAAGTTGCTGCAAGAACCAGCTTTAATACTTTAATAATTAGGGCATGTTGGGAAGCACCCAACTTGGTGCAGACCAATGTTGCTATCAAAGCTTCCACGGAGTGAACTCTTCTCAAGCACTTCCTTCTTGAAATCATCCTGATTTGGATGTGGTCCTTTCCTTTCCAATAACCAGAATTGTACCGTTGATTTTAACGGCTGCTCGAACTGAGGAATTACCACTAGAGCTCTTGAGAGATAAACATTCTACTTTGAAAACCATCCTTGGCAGCAGCTGGATTCCTTAGTAAGCCATTGGTGTTTCTAAAAAAAAAATGGGCAGATCTGAAACTGGCTGCAGATGAGACAGCAGACCAGCTTAAAAACTAAGCTACGCGCTTGACTTCAGAATACCAAAAAGGAGTAGCCAATTCTTTCTCCTCCGTTTGTCGGAAGTACCAATTGCAAGACCTGGCCATTTAAAAATATAGTTTAAAAAGTTTCTTTCTTTTCGGTCTCTTGCTTAACGAATTCATGCTTTTAATCTTCCCAACAGCCAGAGTTCTCTGGAGAGATTACAGAGCAGTTGAAAGCATACCCCCACCTCTTTTTTCAGTCCCAAAAAGCTTGCAGGCTCTGCAGTGAATGGATATGGGGAGGGGAGGTGCTCCAGCTGCCTGCTCTTTATCCAACCAGTTGAGGGATGCTGAGTCTTCATGCTGGGTCTCGTTTGGGTTGCTGTGTGACTTTTGTGCTGTTGAAGCTTTCTTGGGGAGGTGGGGGGGGAGGTGGGGTTCAGCGGGAAGGATTGGAGGGAGAGAGGTTAATTGAGTGCTATTTGCCATCTTGAGTGAAGACTTGTGATCCTGACTTTTGAATTAAAGCTTGTGGGAGTTTCCTTTATCCAGGACTTCTGATGCTCCTCAGTGCGTCGTTGTTGGGCAGCCTTGTGCACTAAAGTAGGAGCGCCTTATAAGGTCTCTCCTGCCGAGAAACGTCGATGCCGGAAGTGGTGATGTTTTCCAGGAAAGCCAAGAAGTTGTATGTGGGATCCTCTCTCAGGAAAGGTCTTTGGTGTCCCATCTTTTTCTGGGTGGAGAAGAACAGAAAACGCTTGTGGAAGAGATGGCTTCAAGACGATTGTGGGGGAGGGGGGGTTTCCCAGCAGCTGCACAAGAGGAAGTCATACTTCAGGGAAGGACATCAGCAGGGGTGGGCTTCAAAAGGTTTAGCAAGGGGTTCTCTGCCCAGTTGCTGGTGGGCATGGCCTAGTCAGCTTCCTGCACCACGGCGGGGTGGGGTCATTTTTGCCCTCCCTAGGCTCCGGAGGTTTTTCTTGAGCCTCCGGGAGGGTGAAAATGGCCTCCCCGGGCTCCAGAGGCCCTTCCCGAATTTCCGGTAGGCCTGTTTTTCACCTTCCCTGGGCCTTCACACGCGCCATGCACTTACCTGCATCCAAAACGGGCCATGTGGGGACTCCTGGGAGGGGCGGGGTGGGCAGGGCCAGCCAGGAGTGGGATTTGGGGGTTCTCCGAACTGCCCAGAATTTAATTAGAGGTTCTCCTGAACTCCTGGGAACCCCCAGCAGCCCACCCTGGACATCAGGCTTAGTGCAACCCCTAACTATGCTCAATATTACTTTCTCTACCACAACTCAGAGCAGAATATTATCACTAGTAGTGAAGCCATGTCATGACTCAGTAGAACACATCTGTTTTTCCTTGAGAGCTGTCTTGTTTTCCTTTGCTCTCCTCTCCACTCGGTGCATACGCGCATCTGGGATGGGCCCCATCTGTTCCTCCCCTTCACTCAGCTCAGGCCCCAAGGATAGCTGCCTCTCCACCTGGGGGAGGATGGAAGGCCCCGGCTCTGCCTTCAATGCTGTTTTCTCATCAGAGCCTTCCAAAGGCTCCAAAGCTGGCCCAGGCTCTCCCTCCATCTCCTCCTCGTCTGACTCTGCAGCTAGCTCTGCTGGCAGCTGACGGGCCATAGCAATAACATGCTCTCTCCAAACAAACTGCATGATGGCTCAGGATGATAAACTAATTCACCCAGCACACTAAGGCCACTGATCCCCAGGCACCTACAGTAGAGTAGGGAAGCTCAAAGAGCTCAAGGCATTGGGTACAGTATACACTAAAGAAGGAGGGTAGGGCTTTAATCATAGGGCTGTAGCTATTTTACTTATTAATTGGGTATATCTAGTCTAATGAAAAGAAGAACTAGAGGTGACAACGATAGCAATCTTCCAATACTTGAGGGGCTTTCACAGAGAAGTTTAAGTTTTATTGTCATTGTATGTCTATACACAGTAGACCCATACAACGAAATTCACTTAACACCCAAAGACCAGGCCCAACTGAGCTCTGGTGGCTCAGCAGACTAATTAACATCCATTTACATCTGCTGCCTGCAATTACTGCAAGTTTGAATCTCACCAGGCTCAAGGTTGACTCAGCCTTCCATCCTTTCTAAGGTAGGTAAAATGAGGACCCAGATTATGGGGGCAATAAGCTGACTTTGTATAAATATACAAAAGTAGGAAGGCTATTGCTTAATGCATTGTAAGCCGCCCTGAGTCTCCGGAGAAGGGCGGCATATAAATCAAATTAAAAAAAATCCCATACATAACAATTCCCAAATACACCCCCACCCACCACAAATTCCCCACCCCTGAACCACCCAAACATCCATACAACAGACCAAGTAATGTGTCCAACAGCTCACTGATGGTAGCCCTTTAGTTCAATGTTGAGTGCAATTGTAGCTCTGGGATAAAAACTACTCAGAAGACGTGTGGCCCGAGTTTTAATTGTTCTACATCTTCTGCCAGAAGGCAACAGTCCAAAAAGATTGTAAGCAGGATGGGAAGAGTCTCTGAGGGGGTCAACCTGTTCTCCAAAGCACCTGAAGGGCAGGACAAGAAGCAATGGATGGGAACTAATCAAGGAGAGAACCAACCTAGAATTAAGGTGGAAATTTCCTGACAGAACAGTTAACCAGTGGAATGCCTTGCTTCCAGAAATTATGGGTGCTCCATCACTGGAGGTTTTTAAGTAGAGATTGGACAGACATTTGTTTGAAATGGTCTAGGGCAGTGATGGCAAATCTTTTAGACACCGAGTGCCCAAACTGCATGAGTGCGCATGCCCAAACTGAAAGGTGTGCACATGTGAACATGTGCATGCACAGGCATGCACGCATGCGCAGCAGAGACCCAAAGACCAGCTGGCTGGCAGGAAGCGGGGCATCCTAACAACGGCAGTGCGGCAAGAGGTAAGATCTTTTTCTTTCGAGAGCTTCTGTTTCATCGTTTGCAGAGAAACAGAAGCTCACGAAAGAAACGCCACGGAGATCTGACCTGGGGCGACAGCGCTCATGCCAGCGGAGAAGGCTCTGCATGCCACCTCTGACACGTGTGCCATAGGTCTAGGGTTTCCTGCTTAAGCAGGGGGTTGGACTTGTTCCTTCCAACTCTATTATTCTGTTATCTGCCCCCTGCCATGGATGTCCTTATGTTAAACCCGACCCACAATGCAGCCTTGCATACTTTGCTCTCTCCTTTTATTGGAAGAAAGGAAAAATAAACCTAATCTGAAGATAGTCAAGACCAAGTTGATTTGCCCCAAGTTCTGTTTTTGTCTTACCATATAATTCCCCTCGGTAGCTTCTAAATAAATGGATGGCGCGGCATCTTTGAATTTGGTTTGACAAACCAACCATTTTGATTCCTTGATTTCATCATCGATATGCAAAAGTGAGGAGTTTTCACTACCTCTCTTCAGCAAGAGATCTGGTCATGGACCTTTTAGATCCACTAAATTAGGTCCACTAAATTTTAGGTCCACTAAATTTTGGATTTTGTCAAAATCCAAGCCAGTGAGATTTTCCCAATCTTGGGAGAGATTATTTCAGACAGGGAATTCACAGGTACCTTTTCAGCACATAAAAGAGATGATTCGTGAAAAATGGACATTTGGGTGAAGTACACTTCTTCTGTTTCCAACTATTGCAAGTTTTGCTTTCTCTCTTTTGCAGATACAGGTCCTATTTCTAGCAAACTCGAGAGGAGGAGCTTTTTTGTGGGCATGTAAGCTAACTAGCTTAAGGTTCAACCTTGTATTCTGACCCGGTGAAGTGTTTTTTTCCTTCCTTTCCTTTCCTTTGCTCCATCGCATTAGGATCTAAAGGCTGATCTCCAGGGAGATGTTTTGACGTATTATCGTTTTGGCTGGAAGATCACTTGGAGAAGATGCCGGTTTGGCCATGTTTGGAAGCCAGGACATTCTCTTTCCATCTGGTGGAACGTCCAAAGGAGATAATCTTAAAAAATCTGCACCTCAGCACCCTGTTACCAAGCACACCGTGCTTGGCTTGGAGATATGGCTCCTCTAGACTCGATGCAGATGTGGTAATGTATACGGTGTAAATGCATATCCACAAGACCAAACTTCGAGCTGCAGGAAACTTCATCTGCTTGACTGCGGATGTATATAACTCAGATTAAGCATCTCTTCAACCAACTGGACTTTTTTCTTTATGGTCATCTCTTCATTGTAATTATTCACATTCTAATCCCAGAAAAAGCCTTTGATCTCTTTCTCGATACGACGGATGAAGTCCTGACTTTGCATCTTAGGAATTTACTTTAACTCTTGAAATCTTTTTTTCTGACCTTTTTTAAATTTCTTTCCTGATATTGTAAGCAGTGCTACAACAGAACAATATACACAGTTCACACATTCACAGATTAGGTTGCTAATCCTTTAAAAAAAAAAATACCTGGCAGTCCTAAGGATTAACAACATGATCTGCTAGTTTTAGCCAGATCAAAGCATGTTCCTGCTTTCTAGCAAAGCTAAACCGCGCGGCATAGTTGATTCCCCCGCCGTGGCTGTTCTACTTACCTTCCCAAGCCTCCTTTTGGTGCATGCTGCGCGTGTGTGCATGTGCAGTACGCGCCATAAGGAGCCTTGGGATGGTAAGTAGAACAGCGGGAGGGAGGGATCAGCTATGCCGTGCAGTTTAGCTTCACTAGAAAGCAGGATTTCCTACTTTCTAACAAAACTAAACCATGCGGCACAGCTGATCATCGGAGCATAGCTTTCTTTAACTACCAGTTTGCCTGAACTGGTAGCTTTTTTCCCCCTACCAGTTCGACCGAACCGGTAGTTTTTATCACTACCAGTTTGCCTGAACCAGAGCGAACTGGTAGCATTTCACCCCTCGTTTTAGCTATGATGTCAGTGTAAAACTTTTTTTTCTTAAAAAAAAAAATGTGAGTGCCCCATTCCAGCCTCTCCCCTGATTACTCAAATGTTTGTTTTTCAAATCTAACGGCAAACGTGGAATAGTTGCGCAACCTGAACTGCTTCGATACATGTCGATTTAGCCAGTCGCTTTTTCGATATAGGTACCTTATTCAGAGGTTAAAATGCTTGGGTTCCTGGTGTTAAATCGATTGTGCAGAAAGGCAAGGGGTCTCCTTCACACGTATGTTGTTTTCTGATGGAGGAATTGCAGGCCACGGGAGCAGAAACCCAGCAGGCTTTGTGTAACCCAACGGAAATTCAGCTTCAGTTGAGCTTCTCTGAAATTGCCTGCTTATTTAAGAATGGATCCTTGAAAGCACCTGTCCTTTAGTACCTTTTCGAGAAGCAGAGGGATCCCTTGCTACAAACCGGCAGTGAAAGTGGAGGGGAGGGGGGAGGAAAAAACAAGCAGCTTTTTCAAATAAAATGCAATATTTATGGAGACCGTGTGTGCTCGTCTTTATATATACAGAAACATTGCGTTGGTCATCAATAGGAACCTCAGGAAAGACAAAAAAGGTGCAGCTTAAAAGACTAAACCAGCGATGGCTAATCTTTTTCTTGTCATGTGCCGAAAGCATGTGTGCGTGCCGGCACCCATAATGCAATGCTTGGGGGCCCTGCACATGTACGTATGACTCCACACGCCCCCACATGCATGCGCACGTGACCCCCCCCGCCCCCCGTTTTCAGCCTAGCAGGCCTCCCTGCAGCGTCCTGGGCCCAAAAATGGGCTGCCCCCCCAAAAAAACCTCCATTTTTGGCCTAGCAGGCCTCCCTGTAGCCTCCTGGGCCCAAAAACAGGCACGCCGCATCGCTCCGCCCTCCCTCGCACATGCACACGCGTCTCATGCATGCCCTCTGCCCCCCCCGCACATCCCAAAAATCAGCTGGCTGGCGGGAGGTGCGCATGCACAATGGAGCTGAGCTGGGCAACAGCTCATGTGCCCACAGAGAGGGCTCTGTTTGCCAGTGCCATAGGTTCGCCATCATGGTCCGAAGTGATTCTGAAGATTGGCTCGCTATTAACGTTCATCTCCGACAAATGAATTTGTATCATGTTGTGGGTCATTTTTTTCTCCCTCAGGGTTTCCTTTTTACGAACTTGCATAACTAACGAACGAGGAGAGTCCTTGGCTCATTGGGTTGCCCCTGAATTCCCAACCTCTGGATTAGCAAAATGGTAGAAAGATTCTGAGGCTGTTCTAACAGCTCAGGGAAGGATAAAAGCAGGTAGAAGATTACTTATCCTTCTTTAAAAGGAAGATCTCAATTGCTACGCGCCGAGGCCAGCTCAGCATGAGCACGGCTAATGGCCCTGCCATAAAGTGATGAGTGAGAAACTCACCTTTCAGCAAATTGCGCCCCCCCCCCCCACAACACACCCACACACACAAATCTTCCCTTCCCTCTAAAGCTCCTAACGGAAGAGTTGGGTTGGCTTTCAGTGCCACCTTGTGTGCAAAATGCTGAATGGGAAAAAAGAAAGCAAGCTCCACTTTGTGGACATTCTCAGTCATCCAGGTCGTGGTTGTCCCAAAGGTGCTTTTTTCAAGAGGCCACTGGACTTTCTTGTTTTTCTCTGAAGACATTTCGCTTCTCATCCAAGAAGCTTCTTCAGCTCTGACAGGATGGTGGGGAATGGAAGGATTGATACTCCTTGCAGATAGCTGGTCGTCTGCATTTCTTTTGCACGTCAGTCCAACGTAGAGTCTGCGCACACATGTTTTGCAGAATAGAACAAACAGATTCCGGCCTTCTGGTGGCATGCTTTTATCCACAACAAATGGGGTCCTCCCAGTTTTAAAAAATGTTCCTTTAGGAAGGTGAACAACTTTTGCCTCCCCCAGTTCATTTCTGCAGCCTCAAGGTCATCTTGATTGCCACTGCGAAGACGGATGCTGGGATTAAATGCTTAATTAAACCTAATCGGTCTTTATTAGATAGATCACCATTGCCAGGGGTGGGTTCCAACAGGAACCCATCCCTAGCAATGGCAGCAGTTCATATATTTTCTCAGTTTCTTTGAAGCTTGGGATGCTGTCCACTTGTCCTGATGAGTCCTTTGCCCTCAGTATTTATGTTACATGAGAATATAACTGTTGTGACCCAGGCCCAAATAAGTAGTAGTCGACACAAACAGTTCCAAAACAAACAGACTTGATTAGAACAGCTGAGAATTAACTCATTCTCAGCATAGTCCAAACTAAATTACAACAAATTCTTCATAACACAAATTCTTCAGTCTAATCACCAACCTTGGTATAATTAGGCAAACTGCCAAAGGCTTAGCAAAAGTTCAGAAGCAGAAAATGCCGACAAGAGATAAGTGCAGTAAGACAAGAACAAATCTATCAACGTTGTTTTCTGACAAAGAGCTCAAGAGCCATTGCTGGTCTTTTAAGCCTTATGGGAGGGGCCAATCATCTCTTGGCTTTACTCCCGAGTTGTCCTCTTTGCTTTAGCTGCTCTTGCCTACTGGCAGCTCTTCTCATGCGTGCGCTAGGAACAGGCTCCTCCTGTTCCTCTGCCTCTCTACTATCAGCCTCTGGAGGCTCTGGAGTCTGCACCTCACTTCCCGATGGCCCTGGCCCCATCTCTGCCTCCGGCGCAGAGCCCTCATCCAGGCCTTCTCCAGCCTCCAGGACTGGCCCATGTTCTTCCTCAGCCTCATCGCTGTCCGACTCCGCTGCCAGCTTCGCAAGCTGCTGGCGGACCGCAACAATAACTGAGCTTGCTATTACAATATGGGGAAGAAGAATTTTGCCCTCTATCCCCAGTTGCTGAGAACTAACCTGGTGGAGTGGTTAAGGAACCAGACTAGAAACCAGGAGACACTGAATTCTAGTCCTGCCTGGGGCACAAAGCCAGCTGGGTGACCTGGGGCCAGTCACGCACACTCAGCCCTAGAAAAAAGAAGACAATGGCAACCCGCTTTTGAAATCTTGGCAGGGAAACTACAGACTAGTTCAGACAATCGTCAGGAGTCAAGATCAATTCAAAGTCCACACACACACTTCTAGTTGACGTTGACCGCTATTTGCAGCCTCTGCTAAACATGGTCAGTGGTGGAAAATACAGTTCAACAGCTAGAAGATCTTCAGTTGTTGTTTTTTTTTTATCCTTGAAGGAATAGATTGTTATGTCGGAATATAATGAGAACTTCATTTGATTTTGCAGGGTTGCTTCTGCTTACAGTTTGGAGCCCTGGCTAGGGGTGACTTTTTGGTATAATTTAAAGAATAGAATAGAATAGAATAGAATAGAATTAGGAATTAGGAATTAGAATTAGGAATAGAATAGAATAGAATAGAATAGAATAGAATAGAATAGAATAGA